AAAAAAAAAAAGATGAATTGTGAGCTGCCATGTGTACTATGTCTTACCAATGAAGCAGAGTCCCTTTGCAGATATGCATCAGGGGACTGAGGAGGAGAAAGGGCAAGAGTGCTTTGCCGCTTTGCTGACTCCACATGTCAGTGTGCAGGCCATGGACGCGAGACATGTGTCTCCATGAAGAGAATGTGCTGCTGCAGGAGCCCTTAGTGCTGGTCATCTCAGCTACCTCCCTCCTGTGTGGACCACAGTGTGTTTACCAAGGCCATACCACGAGGATGCTCAACACTTCCCACCAGTGTGGCCTCTTCTCTTCCTCAGGATGTGTATACTGGGCAGAGGATGTGTGTTCTTTCCCTACGCAGTAGACTGCACACAGTACCACACATTGTGATACTGTGGCTCGTGGCCCAGGGATTTGCTATGCTGTGGGCTCTTCCTTCCTCAGTAATGCTAAGAACCTAGTCTACGGTTGCATTGGCATAGAGATGAATCTAGGTATGGTATTTAATTGTATTTGTTATTTCTATAGTCATTTTTTCTTCTGATTTTATTTTTTTGTGGGAATTTATTTATTTATTTATTTATTTGTTTATTTATCTATTTAGTTACTGGGGATTGAACTTGCCAGGCAGGCATTTATGCCTTATCCCTAGAGAGCTATCTCTGTAGCCCTCCTGATTTTAAAATTCCTGAGATTAAGACTTTTTTGCACCCCTAATATATTATGGTAATGAAGCCCTGTGCCCACTGTCCCTACTGAGTATGCTGGCCCAGTCCTTGACTTCTTTCTCCATGGTCCTTCACCACCACTTCCTCTAATAAGTCTCTTTCCCATCTTGCTCCAGCTCAGTGTCTGCTTCTCGGCGGGTCCAAAGTGACACAATCCTGAAGAGAGAAATCGCTGTCTGTGAGGCACCTCTGCCTGCAAAGATTCTAGAAGACTTTCAGTGCATCTGAGAAACTTCGCAAATCCACTTAAACCTATTCAGTAGACTCCTGGAAAGTGCTATAACTTTACTGAGCTAGAGAGATTTTCTACTTTTAGCCCCATTGTAAGTCCATCCTGTCTGCAGAGGACAGATATCTGGCAGTCTCCTTGAAGGGACAATTGCTCACCTGCTGTGGGGACAGTATTTTTGTCCCTGAACTTGCCATTGAAGTGCCTCATTAACAATTCACACTTGTGACATTAGGCCAAGTGAACCACAAGCATATTTCTGATCCAAAAAGAATCCGGCAAACAGATGTGACCTGCCCCAAGTGAGTCAGAGAGGCTGCAGGGAATTAGACCAAGACTGCTGACATCAGGTCTCACATGGGACCACTAGACTAGACCAAACCACAGTGTGTTCCCTTTTCTCTTCTTTATCATTCATGTGTTGCCAGGTTGGGCACTATTTACCGATGATCCGAGTAACAACAGCTTTCTCACTGGGAAAACAAACACAGCTCTGACAAGTTTATCATTGTCCTTGAAGGCGTGGGAATGACTCTGAAGCCAGCTCTCTGGTGTTGGTCCTAGGAGGCCCCACTGGAAGGACAAAAGCCCTGACAGACTGCGACACCAGTAGTCCACCCCTAGATGGTGCCACCCATGGCTGGGTAGCTACAGGTGTCATTAATGTGCCTGTCCAGTGACAATAAAGAAGGTTCCCTGGAATCCTTGAGAAATGATGTCCAGTGTCACAAATTTTTGGAACTTTCCTATGCAGTTCAGTGAGGCCAACATCCAATTTGGCCCAGGGTCCTTGAGCTCCTGAACCTCTTGGAGTGATGATCTTTGTCTGATCAAGATTAGAGTAGGTTGAAACTGTCTTAGTTGTGAAGTGAGTACAGATAGGATTTGGTAGGCAGAATCCCAACCCAACAATCAACAAAATTA